CGGGAGTCCTCGCCCCCAGCCCCTCCTCCCTCGGACCCGGGAGTCCTGACCAGCAGCTCCCTCTTTCCTTCGAGTCCGGAGTCTGGGCCTGAGATTTCTTTGCATTCTTTTGCCAACTAAGTGTCAATCTCTGGGCAGATTCCCACCCTCTGCTCTCATCCCCACTTTCCCAGGAGCTCAAGGCCAGACATTAACCAGCTGGACTTGGGCAGTGATAAGACCCGAGGCCCTGGGAGACAGTGGATATGGGGGGGGTCCTCCCACAGAGTCCTCTCCGCTGGAATTTCCTGGGTGGGGACTGGGGAGAAGGTCTGTCCTGAGCTCAGATAAGAGAAATTCAAGGTATTATTGGACTCGGAGATAGACAAGGATTTGATGTGGGAACACAATGACCCGCTCAGTGAAAAAAAATGAATAGCGACAAAGGGAGATGGGAAAGGCACAGAAATGGAGAGAAGGGGGGGGGGACAGAAACTCAGAGAGAGGACAGATCCTTGAGAGAATGGGACAGAATCCCAGGAGGGGGGACAGGGACCCAGTGAGAAGAGAGAGACCCTAAGACAGACTGAGGTCGGTTGGAGTTGGAGTCCCAGGCCCTTCACCCCTCCCCCGGAGCTATTTCAGTAGGAAAGGTGATACCTACCTTGGGAGGGGCGGGGGGTCATCCCATACCCCTCCCTCAGCCTAAATATAGCATGGCAAGGTGGCAGGAAGGGTGTCCCCGGATTAGGGTGTTCCCCTCTCCCTTTCCCCATCCCAGCCAAGCCAACGTAGAAGGCTGTAGAAGGTGGCTGTGGGTTGTTTATTGAGGGTGGGGGAGGGGCACTTCCCCATCTGAGGGTCCCCTCAGGTCACCTCCCTGACCTCTCCACACTCCCCCCAACCCCTGCCGCCATTCCTAAGCAGCCAACAGGTCCCACCCCCTACCAGAGAGACTCTCTATGACTTCCAGTCTCAGATGGGGTAGTACAGGTGAGTTTTCAAAGAAAAGTAGAACAGTTTGTGCACGCCTCCTCTTCCTTTGGGTCTCTGTCCCCTCTCCCTCTCCGTCTGGGCCTCTACCCCCCTCGCTCTCTCTGGATCTCTGACCTCTCCTCTCTGGTTGCTTTCCCAGCCTCTGTGGATCTCTGTCCTGCCCCCGCAGGGGTCTCTGACCCCCTCGCAGGTCACTGCCCTCCTGCTCTCCCTCCTTCCCTGGGGTGTCCTCTCTCCAGGTCTTGGCCCCTCTCTGCATGTCTCCCCTCCTCTTCGGGTCTCCATGCTGGGTCCCAAACTCTGTGTCTGCCACTGTGAGGGGGTCTGTCTCCATTTCTGTCTCCAGATGTGCCTTTCCATTTCAGAGGGAAGGGACCATCTACAGATTCTATGGTTTTCGACCTTTATAAAACTCTTCCCACCATCTGTACCTTCTTCCATCGCTCTGTATAAAAAGGGGGTTGGATTAATTGGGCATTTCCAGATTGAATTCCTTAGCTGCATTTTGAGTTGCCAAGGAGGACTCCATAGATGTGTGTGTCCCTCAAACCAGGTTCCTTCTGATGTGCCACACTGCATCAAAGTAAGATTTCATTTGACCCAAAAAGGGAGGGGGGCAATAGCTAAAAATAACAACAACAACACTCTGTAAACCACTGGTTTTAATAAATTAATACAAGTAAAGTACTTTGGATGATGCTTTGGCACATAGGAAGCCCTATATGTTAGTGATTGAAGCATCCTGCTCTCCTTCCTCCTCCAAACGCCCTTTTAGTACTGTAAGCCCTCTGAAAATGTTTGGCTTCCTGCCCTTGGGTCCCACCCTCCCCTCTGAGCCTCAGTTTCTTTGTGAGCAATGAGGCTGGAGAATACCAGCAGGCTGATGGGACAGGTGGGGTCAGGCAGCCTGCCATAAATCCTCGCTCGTGGGGATGTGCCATGAGACCCTGGGAAGCCACTCCCATGCTCTAAGACTCTGGTTTCTCCCCTGGAAAAGAGAGTGGGCTCCCCAGTTTGTCTGACATCCTTCCTGAGCTGTGGGAGGATAGGGTGGAGCTCCCTGATTTGGGATCTCTTTGTGATTCCATGGAAGAAAGACTGGGTATCTCTTGGGTTCAGAGGCACTGACTTTTTCTGCCTATTCCTTTTTTGGTTATCTTTCTCGGGGGTGCTCTGGTCTGGCTCCAACTCTGGTGTCTGTCCCTCTCTGGGTGCCTGACACACACCCCCATCTCCATCTCCCACTCTTGGTCTCTGTCTCCCTTTCTCTTTGGGTCTTTGTCTTCATCTCCTTCTCCCTAAATCTCTCTTCCTCCCTCTTTGGGTCCTTGTTCCCTCTTCTCTGGGTTTCTGTCTCTTTCTTTCTCTGAGTCTTTATCACTCCCGAGGTCTCTGTCCCCTCATTTGGGTTTCTGTCTCCCCCCCCGCCCCCATCATGCCTGTACAAAGTAGTTTCTCTCCCTTTCCCCTTCCCTTGTGGCTGTGATCTCCATGGTTGGAAGCAAAACTGTAGGGAAGGACAGCTAGAGAGGGTATGAATGGCAAAATGAAGCAGGTGTGGAGCAAATGGAAGGAGTGTGTACATCTTCCTAGCTCACCCGGAGGCCCTCTGCATGAACAACTGAATCAAGGGATCCAGCACCCAGCCCTGCCCCTTATAGTAAGTGATGCTGGGCAAGTCAGTTCAGTTTGTCTCGCAGAGTCCATAACACCACACTTGTCTCCTGATACATGATTCCTCCCCGGTGTTGTTATTCTTGGGTGCTAGTGGTGCTACCAGTAAATGCAAAACAAACCAACATGGCCCTATGGAGTCCATATGCACAGTCCAACTCAACCTAACATTCCTACAGGACTCACAATGACACAACTCACCTCAGCATAGCCCTACAAGACTCACATGGTTATACAGTTCAATATGATTCATCTCAGTGTAGCCCCCAAAACTTCCAGCAACATGACTCTACACAATTCAACCCAACAGAACCCTGGAAGACTCATACTGTCATACGTTCCAACCCAACTTAAACTAACGTGACCTAGAAAGCTCACATTCAATCACTTGACTCTTCATATTTCTACGTGACTCACAAGTTCACAGAATCTAAAATAACATAGCCCTAGAAGAATCGCGAAGCCACACAATTTCCAACATGTCTCCACAACACCATGCATGAACATGCACACAGTCCCAACAATGCCGTGGGTGACCACCTAACTTGATCCAAAATGGTCCTAGGGGACTCATAAAGCCACAGAATCCTGCACAATGCAATTGGACAAGACTCACCCAGACTCAACAACACAGCCCAACCCAATGAGGACCTAAAAACCAAAACTATGTAATCAAATCTATCTCAACACTTAACCACAAAAGGCTCCATAAGCCTTGCACAGCCCAATGCAGTACAAACCAATGGAGCCGCCCCATCAACTCATTATAACTCACTGCCATTCACCGTCACTTAAGGAAGCACCCACAGGAGCTACCAACCACAACTCAAGACCCAACAAGACTCAGTGTTCCCCAACTCAGTACCACTTAACCTAGTTTCTCCTAAACCCAACCCCCTCCCCCTAACCTTCCCTTCTATCCCTCCCTCCCTCCCTCCCTCCCTCCCTCCAAGGAAACGTAAGGTCCTACAGACCTCAACTGTCCCTCACACTTCGGTGACCATGTGTTTCCCAGGGGGTGCCCAGAGTGGAGGTGGTAGCTCAGGCATCTCTCCATCCATCAATCCCCCATTGACCTTGCCCTCCAGTGGGCCACAGGGCTGCATGTCCACATGGCTGTACATCCCGGCCTCTTCGCCCTCTGTCTCCCGGTGGTAAAAGTAGCTGAAGTTGGAGACAATGACCGGAACGGGCAGAGAAATGGTCAGCACTCCAGCGATGGCGCACAGAGAACCCACTATTTTGCCACCCACAGTGACGGGAGCCATGTCTCCATAGCCAACTGTGGTCATGGTGACCACCGCCCACCAAAAGGACTCAGGGATGCTGGTGAAATGGGAGTCTTCCCGGTCGACCTCAGCAAAGTAGACTGCGCTGGAGAAGAGGACCACACCGATGAAGAGAAAGAAGATGAGGAGACCCAGCTCACGCATGGAGGCCCGTAGTGTCTGGCCCAAGATCTGCAGGCCCTTTGAGTGCCGGGACAGCTTGAAGATTCGAAAGACGCGCACCAGTCGGATGACTCGCAGGATGGCCAGTGACATGGCCTGCTGGCCCACACCCCGCTGCCTGGCTAGCTCGGTGCCTAGCGCCACAAAGTAGGGTAGGATGGCCACAAAATCGATGAGGTTCATCACGTTCTTGAAAAAGGCTGCCTTGCTTGGGCAGGCCGCCAGGCGCACCAGGAGCTCAAAGGAGAACCAACAGATACACAACGTCTCCACCACAAAGAACGGGTCATCGAAGGGCATGCGAGACAGGGGTCCAGGCACTGGGCTGGAACCATTCAGCCGAGCGGGGAACTGCAGGGAGGAAGGGGTTCAGAGAGGACCACACCAGGGCTGGGACACACTGGAACAGCCACATTTGTGATTTAAACGTCCAACTACTTCTGTACAAATTGGTCAGGAGTCATTGCCCCCAGGCCTCCAGTGACCCAGCCGTCCTAGATTCCTTTCCGGAACCCTAGGGATCATGCCTGCGTGGCTGACTTTATAGTCCCCGATCCTTCACTGGTGGAGACTCCTGAAATGGTGCCTAAGTGAGGCTCCATCTCTTCTTCCTTCCCAAAGTCCCACCCCCGGCTTTGATTTTCCAGATGGGGGAGGGTCGCCACCCAGGTCCCACTTCCTGGCGCTCTGCCCTCCCTAACCCCAGTCCAGACTACAACGGCTAAAGACCTTCTTCGTACACCAAACCCTGGGGCCGCTGCTCTCAGGGCCCTCAGCCTGACTTTATTTGTGACGGATTCTTCCTACCTCGGCCCTCTCGTCTCCAGCTCCCTCAAGTTCCACTCTCACCACCTCCAGCCCATCTTTCTATTGGTTACTGCCAGCCGCACAGACCCCCGATTTTTCAGTCTCTCCACCCTCAGCTTCATTTCTTTTTTTTTTTTTTAAGATTTTATTTATTTATTTGAGAGAGAGAGAGAGAATGAGAGATAGAAAGCATGAGAGGGAAGAGGGTCAGAGGGAGAAGCAGACTCCCCGCCGAGCAGGGAGCCCGATGTGGGACTCGATCCCGGGACTCCAGGATCATGACCTGAGCCGAAGGCAGTCGTTTAACCAACTGAGCCACGCAGGCGCACTCTCAGCTTCATTTCTTAACGTCCCGGTCTTCCTGCCCTCCCGCCCTCGACAAGCCGTTTTCTCACCTGTCTCAACCCCGCCCTGCAATAGGGAGGTCCTCCTAGTCAGACCCTCAGGCCCCGCCCCCATGAGGCTATCCCTTCTCCGCCCCCAGCCCGCCTTTAAAAGGGTAGATTCCTTCCCCCCCCGCCCCCCCGACCCCCGGTCAGGCCCTGTCCCTGGGCTGTCCACCTCTCGAGCCCCTTGCCCCACCTCCGACTGGCCTGTCTCCCAACAAGCCCCTCAATGCCCCGCCCACCCACAGCCGGGCCCCTCCTTCCTGAGAGGCCCCGCCTCCCAACGCCCCCGCTCGACTCCTCCCGAGCCCCGCCTCCCTCCACCCAGGCCCCGCCCCCTCACCGGGCCAGCAGCCGCTACCGCAGCAAGCCCCGGGTTGTAGCGGTCGTCGCGGAAGTCCGGCAGCGTCTCGAGGCAGAAGACGACGATGGAGACGAGGATGACGAGCACGGAGACGACGGCGAGCACGCGCGCGGCCTGCGAGCTCTCGGGGAACTCGAAGAGCAGCCAGAGCTGGCGCGCGAAGGCGCGGCGGGGCAGGGGGCGCTCGGGCGGCAGGGGGCAGCCCTCGTCCTCGCGCAGGCGCGCCAGCGCCGCCGTGCCCAGCCCGTAAAAGGCCACCTCCTCCAGGAAGACGTCGAGCGGCACGTGCGCCGGCCGCCGCAGCCGCCCGCCAGACTGGTAGTAGTAGAGCACCGCGTCGAAGCTGGGCCGGTGCCGGTCAAAGAAGTACTCGCGGCGCACGCCGTCGTAGAAGCGGCCGCGACGCGCAGGGTCCCCTAGCAGCGTGTCCGGGAAGCGGCCCAGGGTGCGCGCCCGCGTCTCGAAACGCAGCCCGGCCACGTTGAGCACCACCCGCTCGCAGCAGCCGCACGGCGGCGGGCACCGCGGCTCCATGGCGCACGCAGCCCCGGCGACCCGCGGACGGACGTGTGGCCCCGACGCCCGACCCGGCCGGCCCGGCCCGGCCCCCCCTCGGCCGCCGCCGCCGCCGCCCCAGCCTGGTGTCCGGTGTCCACGCGTAAAAATAGCCCGGCCGTGCGGCCAGGGCGCGGGGGAGGGGGCGCCTGACCCCGGCGGGGCAGAGGGCGGCCGCGCGCCCTCTGCCGGGGTGCCCGCCCCTTCCCCCCAGCCGCCGATCCCCGCGCCCATCCGGCTCTCGGGTCCCCTTTCCCTCTGTGCCGCGTCTCTCCGGGTTTCCGTGTGTGTGTCTCTCTCGTCTCTTTTTTACGAATATCTGAGCCCCTCTGTTGGAGTCACAAACTTCCACGCCTTTCTCGTTATCTTGTACGTCTCTACGGCTGGCTGTGTCTTCGAGTCTCTGTCAAGGGATGTATCTTTGAGTATCTCTATGGCTCAGTTATCCCCGAGTTTTGCCATTCTAGAGGACTCTGTATTTGGAGGTCTCTGTCAGTTGTCTGTGTCTTGGTCTCTCTGGATCTCCGTCTTTGACTCTTGTTTCTTAGGGGCGTGTCTCCATTTATCTCTGTCTCCCTTGGTCTCTGTCTCTCCCCTCTGCCGGGATCTCTTCTCATTATCTCTTAGCCCTCTGTGTCCCTGTCTCTGGGTTTCCCTGGGGCTCCCCTTGGGTCTCTTTCCCTGTATTCCTGAAGTATTGCGAGTTTCTGTCTCAGGGCCTCCGGAGGACTCAGGGTCTCTGGAGTCGTATCTCTGACTCTCTTTCTGACCACAACTGTAGGTCGCCTCTGCCACTGCCCTGGTGCTTGCCCCGTCCTGGAGATGCTCCAGCAGCTGCAAGCCATGATCACGTGCGCCCCACACCCCGTTCCTCGCCAAGGTCTCCACCTGTATTCTAGGTCAGACATTCGGAGACCCAGTGAAGCCTGAGCTGTAGCCCTGGGTAGAGCAGAAGGAGGCCGGGCCCGCCAGGAACAGGTGGAGGGTGGGCTGGGGAGATGACGCAGGGTCACTCGAAGGGACTAAAGGACAGACAGACGATGGCCTTCCAGCCACCGGTGTCCTATGACACCCGCGTAAAAATAGCCCCATCTGATGGGCTTGGGGGGAAGTGGTGGGGATTGGTTACCGGGGCTCAGGGGAGTGGGGGTCCCGAGCGCCCTCTGCTGGGCAAGTGCAGAGAAACACGAAGGTTATGACTCCCTGGGAATGCTGGCACCCTTTCTCTTCTGTCTGCAATTTCTGGGAAGCTCTGTCACCAACCCTCTAGATTTCTGGGTCCCTCTCTCCGGGTCTCTATCCTCCCTTTGTGTGTGTCTATGTTTATGTCATTTTCAGAGCCCACAGAGAGACCCCTATCTTTGTGGGTCTCTGAACTCTGTGTGAACTGGTCCCTGTCTTCCTGCCGCCGACTTACACCCTCCTACCTGCAATGGGTGTGCCTTCTTTCTGTTTTTTTCTTTCTTTCTTTTTTTTTCTCCTTGCTGTTTCCAGACCATCCATTCTTCCTCCCTCAGCTCCTCTGACTTTCTTTTTTTTTTTTTAAGCTCTACGCCCAATGTGGGGCTTGAACTCACAACCCAGAGGTCAAGAGTTGCATGCTCTACCGAGCCAGCCAGGCGCCCCCTCCCTCGGCTCCTTTGAAGCTCAAGCTATCCATGGACACTTCCCATGCTCCCATACTGAACTTATCCCTTTCTCCCTGGCCACTCCTGCTCTTTCATGGAAGATTTTATAAAGATTTATTTTTATTTTTATTTATTTGAGAGAGAGAGAATGAGAGACAGAGAGCATGAGAGGGAAGAGGGTCAGAGGGAGAAGCAGACTCCCTGCTGATCAGGGAGCCCGATGCGGGACTCGATCCCGGGACTCCAGGATCATGACCTGAGCCTAAGGCAGTCGCCCAACCAACTGAGCCACCCAGGCGCCCCTCATGGAAGATTTTAGATCCTGGCTCCCTATCCCTCACTCTAAAGCTACTGTCCTAATCCTTAGTGATTTCATTATCCCCACAGATGATCCTACTCAAACCTGACTTGTAACTGGATTGTCTTTTCCAAAAAGGAACCCATTTCTTGTCCGACATGGTAATCCTGAATCTTGCCACTCCCTGTCTCGTGGAGACCATGTCCCCAGGTTTTGGTGACTCCCCCGACTAACTGACCACCTTGGAAGGAACACCATATGATTTGCGAGGTTGGGTCATGAAAGGCAACTTTCGGCCCCACTCTTTTCCTTGAGACACTTGCACAGGCCAGGTGGTGAGGTTCATGGGGAGAGGACCCTAGGTTACTGGCCCTCGGCCCTGGCTAAACTCACACCTGTTCACTAGCATCAACCTTGTGAGCGACGATCTGAAGGAGCACATCCTCCTGCCCCATCCGGAGCATCCTGCTGATGCTCCTGGAGCAGAGATGAGCCCTCCCCTGAGTCCCCTCCAATCCCTGCCCGGATTGCAGACGAGGAACCGAAATAAGTTATCTTTGTTGTTTTCAGCCATGCAGACTTTGGGTGGTTTGTTACAAACACTGTGGCCATAGATAACCCAAACAGGGCCTCTTGGTACTCCCGAGCCCATCATTTCCATCGATCTTGCTCGCTGCCCTACCCCAGCCATCTATCTTTCTTTCTTTCTCTCTCTCTCTCTTTCTCTCTCTCTTTCTCTTTCTTTCTTTTCTTTCTTTCTTTCTTTCTTTCTTCTTTCTTTCT